CCTAACTCCCCCCCCCCCCATGTTCTAGTGCTGGGCCCCTCAGGGTTGGCTTGGAGGAGGGGCTGGGGACAGGAACAGACTTGCTTGGCGCTCCTCTGGGGGTGCGGAAGTCAGGCATAGTTTTCCACTTAATCACCAAGAGCTGGTTCTTTTCCCTGACGGCCTGAGTGTGTCTAAGAGAGGCTGTGGCCTTGGCAGCCACCTAACCTGAACATTTAGGTCAGTGCCTGCCACCTGGGCCTCTTGCCCGCCCACTGTCCTGCATCAGCCCCAGCTGTTCCTGTGCCCACCCCATGGCCTCCCGGTGCTTTGGGATGGGGCATAGCAGGGACACCGATTTGGGGGGGGCAGTCGTGGGCTCATGCAGAACTGAGTATCCTCCCAGAAACTGCCAGGAGAGGGGCCAAATGCTCCTCCAACCCTGTGACCCTGAAGTGGAAGGATGTTTCAGGAGTCCTGGGCAAGCAGTTGACCCAAAGAAGGCTTTTAGAGTGGGAAGCTCTCGCTTTCCCTGCCACTGCTGCTGCCTATAGGTTGATGTGTTATTATTGCTGTTGAGAAGATGCTCTCATAGTGTGCCTCCAGTATGCAGCCCAGCTCCCCACTGCTATACTCTGTTACATGTCCCCAGATGCCATACCCTGGCCCCTGCCTTCCTGTACTCGACCCCATATCTACTTATGGTTCTATTTTGGGAAGAAGTGGGCCCAGAATAGTTTTCCCTAGGCCCTGGATCTGAGCAATTCCAGTCCCTTCTGACTGTCCCCACTGGCTCCCAGACCCCTCCCCTCCCAAGATAGGTAGTGCTGGGTGACCCCACAGATCATCAGCACAGTGGCAAATGTGATGTCACGGGGTCTTTTTTGGCTTCCAAACTGCCCGGATTCCAGACTTCCCTTGGGACAAGAGCAGAGAGAGCTGGTAGGCTAGAGCTGAGGGTTTGAAGAGTTCTGGACAGAATGTTCCACTGGAGGCTGAGTCTGCATTCTGCACCCTCCCTCTTGCTCCTGAGCCCTGGGCTCAGGCTGGGGCACCCTCAAGCCCCAGCATTTCCTTCCTCTAAACAGCAGCCCACAGATACATTTCCCCGCCTGTGCATTCTATTATATGATCCCCAGGCAGGTAGGTGTCGCAGCCTCCCAGTCTTCTAGGACACGGTGTCCTTCGATCACTCAGCATGTGCACAGGGAGGGAGAGGGCATGCGTGTCTGTTTGAAGAAAGGTTATGCAGCTTCCTTACCCACCCTGTGGTTCACAGCAAATTCAGGAAGTTCTCTGTTATCTCTCCCACTACAGTTGCTCCCATTTCCCAGTCTTCTGAGGGAAGTGCAGGGAAGTAGTCTGTTCCTACTGGTGACCCTAGGCAAGGGTCTGCTGTGACTAGCCTCTAGGGCCCCAGAAGTGGGATCTCTGCTGAGTGGGGCTAGGAAGTGGCTTGATAGGTGAAGTGCTTGCTGTGCAAGCATGTAGAGCTGAGTTTAATCCCAGCACCAGGTAAAACCAGGCGCAGTGGTGCTTGCCTATAATTCCAGCACTGGGTGGTGACAGGAAGAGCCCTGGGACTTGCTGGCCATCCAGAGTAGCCAAATCAATGAGATGGAGAGTGATAGAGGGAGATACATGATGTTGATCTCTGGTCTCTACATATGTGCACTCATGTGTGTGCATACCTACACACACACACACACACACACACACACACACACTGAGTGAGAGACTGAGGGATTCTGTGAGGACGTAGGGCAGAGTTCAGATGCCAGCTCTCTTCCTCTGGGCACTGCAGAGTCTTTCACTGTTCACTTGCCCCATCTGTGAGATGAGTAACGCTCACTTCCCTGGATGCTGTAAGGGCTGGCGTGGAAGCAGCAGAGTCTGGTTCCCATTCTGTTGCACGCCAAGCTGTTGTTCTTGCTTTAGCCTCGGGAAAAGGTGTCCCTAGATCAGTGGAGGCAAGTAGGGTGCAAAATGTGAGGAAGCCTGGGTTCTCAAGGACGGAGAGACATCGTGCAGAATGCAAAATGGGTATGCGGGGAATGCCACTTTCAATTTCTAGACCTGAGCTAGCAGAGGTTAGGGACTCCTGTGTGAGGTCAGCATTGTCTTTGTTTAGCCTCTGTGTGCCTCAGTCTTATATAGCTGACCTTGAGATGTCAGCTGATCCCAGGAGAGGGGGACAGTGAAGGAGCTAGGCACCGGACTCTGCAGGACTGGGCAGCTTGGTCATGCCTCGAATCTTGGTCGAGATACCGGCAGGTCTTCATTTGCACCTCGGTTCCTGTCTGTGGATCGGGGGCAGGAGGAGGTGGTATTTCAAGGCCCTGCAGTACTATGTCTTGAGAGTGGCATGTGAGGATGTAGTGTGTATGCATTCATATGTGTGCATGTGGTTCAGAAAGGTCCTGCCTGACCTAAAACGAAACAAGATGAAGGTGGCGGCTTTCATATGTCCAGGGTACCTGGGATGCTGCTGTGTTTTCAGTTAGTTCTGCATCTGATTAGGGTATCAGAGAAGGGAGCAAGGAGATTGTTCATTCCACAGATGTTTCTGAAGGGACCACAGTGTGCCCGGCATAGTTTTCTGCTCAGTGTAGACATAGCTCATATTTCAGTGAGAGGCAGGCTCTAAAGGATGTTAGTAAATATAAAATAGAGTGTTGGAGAGCAATATGTTCTAAGAAGAAAAATCAGGCATTAGAGAGATGGTGCACGAGTTAAGAGCACTTGCTGTTCTTGCAGAGGACCTGGTTCAGTTCCTAGAGCCCGCATTCAGTGACTGGTAAACCCAGTTCTAGGTGATGTGATGTCCTCTTCAGGCCTCTACAGACACTTGCACACAAATGGTGAACACATGTACATTCAGGCATATACACATACATATAAAAGAAATAAATACCACTCTTGATAAGACTAAAATAAACTGGGGGGGAGAGAGAGAGAGAGAGGGAGGGAGGGAGGGTGGGAGGGAGGGAGGGAGAGAGAGAGAGAGAGAGAGAGAGAGAACACACGCATGCCTGCCTGCCTGCCTGTTTGCATGGAGACTTGCACGTGGGGTGTAATCAGGGCCCCACAGTTCTTGGAGGCTGCTCCTTTTGAGTCCCCAGCTGCCCTGGAGAGTTCCTGGGAGCTTCCCCACTATACCATGTGAGCTTGGGCAGCCTTAGCTGACTCTGCCCAGCTGTCCCTGCACTTGTCCATTCTCAGGGAGTCTAGGGCTGGTAGCTAGTCCTGGAGAATTAGGGTAGAAGGGATGTAGCTGCGCTGGGGTATGGACTCTGCAGGGAAGTCTGGTTGTTAGGAAATTTTTAGCTCCTCGGGAGACATGTGGACAGTGTGTTGAAGGCATCTGACTGCTGGCAATTCTTGCCTGTGGCTGGCCTCCAGCTGGCAGGGAAAAGGGGTGGGGGCAGAGGGCACAGTGCTCAGATGATCCCTGGCAGGAAGGGTGCATTTCTCCCACTCTGCTGAGGCCTGTAGTTTTATACTAAACTTTATGACTTGGAGAAGTCTGGGTGCGGGTCTGAGTAAGGCAGGGTGGGGCGGGCCTCCATGTCATGGGGGAACTCCAGAGTGAGGGGGTAGCTGTAAGGACCAGCCTATGCTGGGAGCCAGGCCCTCTTCATAGGGAACCTTTATTCCATTTACTCAACATGCAGTTACCCCAGGCAGCTGTGCAGGGTGGGCAGCAAGGATGGGCAACCTGCTTATGGTCACCCTGATGACAGCATGCTGAGTCAGGGTGTGGACTGAGCTGTCTGCTCTTAGAACCATCCAGGACCCTGCTGGAGATACACATTTCTGGTCCCTACAGTATGTGATGACACGGAACTTCTAGGTAGGTGGGACACCCAGGGCCAATAGCCTTTCAGGAGGTAACAGTCCCCTCTTGGAGTGGGAGATAGAACTCTAGGGATGGTGGGGAGGTGAACTTGGCCTTGGAAGCTCCTGTCCCCCACCCCACCCTGTTCACTCTTCTCTTGTGTTGACTGGGGTGGAGGGAGGATGGCAGGGATGGTCCATCTGTTCATGTTTATTGATGACTCACTTCTGGTTCCCTGGCATGAGGGGGTTTCTACATGAGTTGATCATGTCACTATGATTACTTTGGATGAAGGTAGACCCAGAATCCAAAATCAGACCTGGAGACTGGACAGAGTTCAGTTTCCAGCATTCCTTTGGAATGGCTGACAATCACCTGTAAATCCAGTTACAGAGATCTGATGCTACTGGCCTGTATGGGCACCTGCACTCATGTCAACAGACTCACACATGAATACAGACACATGCACATAATTAAAATAATAAAAACACATCTTAAGTTCCCCAATTAACCGTGTTTGGAGGAATGCAGTGTATAGGGCCAGATAAGACTGTTCCTTTAGGAAGGCACAGATGGGGAGGCCAATGCAGTACCACATGGGTATAATCAGAGTTTCCTAGAGGAGGGAGGCCACCAAGAAAGAGGAGAATGCACAGTGTGGAGTGAGTATGGGGGCTCTTTGTGTGTGTGTGTGTGTGTGTGTGTGTGTACCATAGGTACCTAGGGTGGGCCAGCAGGTCACTGGGATTTGGGCAGTATTTGGCAGGCAGGTTCTGACCCTAGGAGCCCATGATCTTGGGCATCTCTTCTGTCTGTTTGCTGTGGCTAACAGGCCATGGTGGTCCCTGTCTCTGTGGATTCTTGTCCTGGGTAGATTCTTGTCCTGTGAAAGCACTGGCTAGCTGGAGCAAGAGAGCTTTGTCTGTTGTCCTCACTTGTTGAGTGGTCTGAGGCTTGCATGGGCACCTAGCGTGGGCCCTTGGTAGGGTGGAACTGGATGGCTCCAAGACTAATAAGATTGAGTGTCATTTTGCAAATGCTGCTTCCCCAGCTTGGGAGCAGCCAAGCGACGTCTTGAAGCGTGGGACTGTGCCTTGTTACCACGCTGACTGCCAACCTCTGAGGCAGCTAGCTGTGCCAATATTCCCATGACGTTCACCTGTTTTCTGGTTTTTGTCCCTAGCCCATCACCACGGAGAACGTACCCAAGAATGTAGTGGATGTGGTGAGTGACAACACGGGCGGAATGAAGAGGCCAGTGCTGGGAGGGGGTTGCAGGGAGGTGGGTTTGGAGATGGGGGGGGTTGGAGCCTGGAGAAGGGGTGTTGATGATCTTGGGACCTGCGCCCAGCCATGGGCTGCATGAATGACAAAGAGGGAGCAGGGTGGGGCTATGGAGATGAGTGAGTAAGCCTGTCTGCAAGAAATGTGTTAAATGTCTTAGGCCTGTAAACCTGGACTCCAGAAGGCTGAGGCAGGAGGGTTACCCTCAGTTTAGATCAGCCTGGGCTGCATAGTGAGAGCTCTTTCAAACAAACAAACAAACAAACAAACAATAACAATAAAGGAGGCCCTGGGGTAATCCCTCAATGAGGTGAGTGCCTGCGCAAGCATGAACGTTTAAGCTTGGTCCCCAGAAACCATCTGGGAAAACAAGTGCAGTGTGGTGGCACGTGGGCTGGGGAGTAGACACGGGGCCTGTGGGTGTTGCCTAGCCTGTTGATAAGTCAGTCCTAGGTTAGTGAGAGACCCTGTCTCAAATGCCAGACTTGCTGGAGAGGGTAGAAAGAGGGCAGAGCCTGTCTGCTTTAGTAATGAAGGTTTGCAAAGGTGATCCATATACGTGTGCATCTACACACACACACACACACATGCATACACACACACACACACACACACACACACACGCATACAGACTTGCACACAGGCACAGCGAGGGCATGAGAGGAAGAATATGAGAAAGCTGGGCAGACTTCCCACCAATCTACGTGAGCAGAGTTTCCTCCAGGCTGGATGGAAGAGGATGAGAAAAATGTGGGAACTCTGCAATGGGGGAAACTGAGGCTAGAAGAGTTGTTGGATGGGAAAGGCCAGCTTGAAACCAGGGGCTGGAGACAAAGGCCCTCCCTGTGGGAACGGAAAGCCTGTCTGGTCCTTAGCTTTCTCATTTTCAAAATGGAGTAACAGAGTCCCACAAGGGTGGGCCCAAAGGAGAGGGTTTACCTTTCTCTGACCGGCCTTTGCGTGGACAAACAGGTGCTACCCTTTCACCCTCCACCCTGAACCCCAGCAGGTAGGAATTCTGGAACCTTGTACTGTTCATGTCCCCTCTCTGACAGCCTCTTCTTTGCCTGCAGGGGGAAGGAGACTGCAGGGGCGGAAGCTCTCCAAAAAGCCTCCAGGAGGGCGTGAGTATAAGGAGGGCAGGGTCAATACTGCTCCCAAGGGTAATTAATGCAGGGTATCAAGCAGGAGAGGGGTGGTGCCCTTAGACCTTAGCAACCCTATTGAAGGGCTGGCTTGGCTGTAGCATTGGAGAAAGAGGAGGCCCACGAAGTCAGTTGTTGGGCTCAGGCTTGGCGTGGTCTTCATTACTGTGCCATGGCAGTTCTGGGTAGGGGAGGAACAGAGAGGCAGATCTGAGAGCTAGGCTTGGTGGAAGGCAGGCTTGGAAAGGGTGAGGGAAACGGCTTTGTAAAGGGGCCTTGGGCTCTTAAGGTGTCTCTCGATCCTGGAGACACTGTTGGGGTGCTTGCCTGGAGCCAGGAGCCTTGGGAAATGGCGACTGCTGTGTGACTTTTCTGCCTCTGATACAGGACACTGGAAGAGGGTTATCTGGTCCTGGCTCATTTTGTCTTAAGTTTCACGAGGGTGGTCAGGGGACAAGTTCCTTAATCAGAAGGACCTCAGGCGAGGGCACAGGAGCCCCTGGTCTCTGTTGGGACTGGCTTGTCTCTACACCCTGGCAGGTCCCGCAGAAGACCCGTCACCTTCCTCAGGTCTTTCTGCCCTGTGCCCCATGCTGGCCCCTCATCCACTGCAGGCCTGGAGAGGAACAGGGAGTGGTTTTGGCGGTTGGCACAGGGGGAGCTGTTGATGGCACGAGGCCCTATCATCTGACAGCTGCCTGGCCTCTGGTAGGGAGGGCCCCGCAGGGAGGGGTTGAGCAGTAGCAGCTCCCGAGGGTGGCCCACCGACACTGCTGCACCATCCTGGGCCGCCATAGGCCCAGCACTAAGGCGTGGAGCTGTCTAGGGGCTGTGTGGACTCCTAGGTTGGGGGAAGGCTCCGTAGAGGTACGTGAGGATTCCTGTTCACCGGTACTCAGGACGCTGCTGAGAATTTAGGTTCGTGTGTGTTATTGCAAAGCATGAACTTGCTGGAGGCACTTCCAGATATGATGGGTCCTCAGTAAATATTAGCTGGTCTTACTGCCATTATTTCTTTTAGGGGCTAGGTACTAGGCTGGGAGGTTGTATGTTTTCACAACAAGGTGTGTGTCAGATGTTGGGGCTCCATGTTATAGATGAGGGAACAGAAACTAGAGGTATTCCTTGAATGTCTGTGGATACATGTCATCCAGGACTCTTAACCCTTGGGATAAAGTGGTAGCCTCTAAATCATGCTTTCAGTTGATGTTCTGGGTGTGCTCAGAAGTTACGTGCTAGGACTTCTTATCCTGCCTTCCTAGCCTGGGCCATATGGAGTCCATAAACTATAGCCAAACCAGGAGTAAGGTTAGACATCTAGAAGAGTTATTGACCCTGAGGGCATGTTTGACCTTGGTTGTATGGAAGGAAGAGGTGGACACTTAGTTGTGGTTGATGACATCTTGCTTTAGTTTTCAGGAAAGACATTTGTTGGTGTGAGGCCATCGAATCTACAAGCGGTTGTGTGTCAGGGTGGGTCGGGGCGGTGCCTCTTCTGGAGGTAGGAGGTCGGAGAAAATGAGTCTCACTAAAGGAGTGTAGGAGGGTCAAGCAGGAGAGCAGATTCCAGAAGGGCCTGCTTGCTGCAGAGGAGTAGACCAGATGTCTGTCATAGGTGGGGTGACCCCTGCAGTGCTTGTCCCCTGGCTGCCTGGGGCTCTCCTGTACACTGGGCAGGGGGAAGCAGAGACCTGGCTCGTGGCGTTAGCCTGTTTGTGGGGTGTTTCCTGCCTTGGCCTCTCCAGACAGTTTCCTCTGATGGAGCTGGTGTACAGTGGAGGCTGTAGAGTGTGCTGTGTCGCACTTTGTTTTGGAAAAATCCAAGTGGTGGGCAGGAAGGGGGGGAGGAAGGGGTGTGGCTGCAGGGGCCTGTGTGGGGGGCCTCAACTGAGGAGATGCAGGAATGAAGGGCTGGGCTTTGGCTGCCACACTGGATGCCTGATATTCACTGGCAGACCCTTCTCTCAGCTGGGACCCTGGGGACCTAGATTCAGGAAACAGGTTTTTTTTTCCTTCTCTGTCCTGAGGTGTTTTGTTTGCTCCATGGACCTGAAGGGAAGGCAGGACTTCTCCCAGCTTCTAGCTGCAAACAAGCCCCACTGGGGGACCCAGGGTTTCCTCAGCTCTTGCTGCATGGATATGCTACGGGGAGCAGAAGGTGGCAGATAGTGCAGCCTCAGAAGGCAGACCTGGACTAGTCAGGAATGCCCCGAGTTATGGTCAGCTCCTGCCTGCAGGGAGAACCAAGGGAAAAAGAGCTAGTGCCTGAAGCAGGAAGGATGAGGGTCAGATATGAGGAGGGACATCCTGCCAGTGAGGAAAGACGCTGTTGGGGGAGGCTGTGGAATGCCCTTCATGGAGGCCTTTCTGCAAAGGAGAGACATGCTTGAGAGATGAGGATAAGGGAGACTGTTCGGTGCTTAGGGAGTTGGATCAAAAGTTCTATTATTGGTCTGTCTTGGGAGGAGCTAGTAGGAAGTTAAGAGTTTCGAGATTCCCTAGAGGGGAAAAGAATGGGATTCCAGGCAGGCAGAGAATTTATTTTCCATTTTAAAATAAACCTTCCCTGGGGACTCCGAGTGGGGCAGGTAAAAGATTGCAGATCTCTGTGCAGTTCCCATTTTACAGATGAGTATAGGAGATCAAGCCCCTATGCCTCTTTCCCGGGTGGACTGACAATTATCTTCACTGCACAGAATGAGGGTGAGGCTTGGACTTCTCCACATCTCTCCCAGGTGCCTAGAACACAGCCTCAGTGAATGTTTAACCTTCGAGGGCATGTCTACCATGAGGGGGACACAGCTCACTCCAGGCCTCAGCTTACCTTGCTGTCTGCTAAGGAGTCACTGGACTGGTGGAGCACCTGTTTGCTCCTGGCTGCGCCTTTACTGTTCTCCTGTGCTCATGATATACCACAGTGCCCGTGCAAGCCTGCTTTCTGCCAGCAAGGGTCATATGTCCCCAGACCTTGCAGAAAACAGGAAGCCCTGTTGGTGAGTGCAGCCCAGCCCTGTGATTCATCAGGGGGTGACAGTCCAGCTGTTGGTCCTTAGCCCCTGCTCAGGACAGCTTCCCCTGTGCATCTCTGCCCCAGTCACCCTGCTGCAGAGTGCCTGGAACTTTCTTATCACCTCTGGAGGCGGCAGGGCCAGACTCTGTTTGGGCCAACTATTTATCTTCCAGGCGGGAGTCAGGAATGTGGAGTGTTATAACCTTGGCCAGAGGGTGGTGGGGAACTGGACTGGGAGCCAGGTCTCTGGGTCCTGTACATCCTTTGCCCGTGCCTTTGGAGGCTCCCAGCTCTGCTTGGCTCTCTAGTTCCTTCATCAATCCTGGCTCAATTGGCCCATTGTCTTCCTCCAGCTTCTTGCTTGCGCCTGGCCCTGATCTTGGCTGCGCCGTAAGCCTTGGCTAAGTTGTGGCTTCCAGTTGTTTGAAGCAGCTGTGGTGGCTTCCTTCAAGAGTGGCTGTGGATCCATAGCAGATGAAACCCTAGGGACTATTTATAGCAGGGTGGCCCTAGAGCCTGGAGCACGGCCCAGCGCCTGAGGAGAGTCAGGGCCTCCTCATCAGAGACCAATGCAATGGGATGGATGAAGTGTTCGTTTTCTGTGTGCTTTGGGGTGGGGAGTTTTGGAACGGCCCAACTTAGGGTTTGAAAACCAAATACCCTGGTCCCCGCCTCTACTGCCCTGGCCTGACTCACGCAACCCCAAGTCCTAGGGCAGGAAATGCTGAGCGGCTGAGAATCCGTCCTTCTGACAGTGCTGTTTGGCTCCTCCTTGCACTGAGTTCTGCTGAGCCCCGAGCAGCCCCACTGTGGCAGGGTGGCCAGCCCTCCTGCACCCAGGGGCCCTGACTTTGTACTCCATGGGGAGCTGGACCTCAGAGCCCAACACTCTGCATATTGGGAGCAATACACTTCATTTGGGTTCTGTGGCTAAGCCCAGGTCAGAGTTCGAATCCTGATCCGTCATCAATTTCCCAGGGATTCAGGGGTGAGTCACCATGTGTCTTGTGTCCCTGTTCTTTGTAGATGGTGGTCTTGCTGCCTCTAAGGGGAGGCTGCCATTTGGTGGCCAGGAGAGGTGGCTTAGTGGAGCCCAGGTATTCAAAATTGGAGTAGATGGTGGCTGCCGAGGGGGAGGAAAGCAGGTCTTGTTTTTTTGTTTGTTTGTTTTGTTTTGTTTTGTTTTGTTTTTATGAGAATGGATGGTTGTCCCTTCCCTTCTAGAAATTCCTCTTTCAGTTCTTCTTAATAAGAGAGTGACAGTTAAAGCGACAGCTGCCATTGACTAAGTGCTAGGCACTTAATGAGAAGGTTCATCCGTATGTTTTTGTTTGTTTGTTTTGCTTGCCTATGACAAGCTGTTGAGCGCTGGCCTGTCTTTCTTTGTCATTCTGGTAACGTTTTTCCAGGTTCAGTGGGCTAAGCATCTCCCATGTTGCCCAGCAGGATGCTGGAACCTAGTGCTTTTGCTGGTTGTCACTTGGCTGCCCTGCAAAGTTTGGTTCACCCACTTGGGTCTGTTTGCTTAATTTTGTACTGCCAATACCCTGGATGTTGGGCAGGTGAGACAGGATAAGACTTGGGCCTTAGACATGAGGGGCCCTGGATGCCCACTGTAAATTACACACCTGCTGCTCTGTCTTAGCTTTCCACTGATCCATTGACTCAGTGTTGTGGCTCTGAAGGATGGGGAGTAGGGCGTGGCAGTGACAGAGGACCCAGGCTCAGAGCTGGCCCTCAAGAGGGTAGGCGCCACTTGCTCCCCTAGAGCGTTGGTGGTTGCTGTCTGTGGTCTCTAGTTGATGCTACTATTATGATGTGGGATGGTTTTTGCCAGTCCAGCCACTGTTGGTACATGTGTCCCCAGAGCAGGGGGGTCAGCCAGGTGGCTGTGTGTCATATATCAGCTTTCCTCTTTGCAGCTAACCTGGTTTCTCCCACAGCAGGTACTTTCGGCCTTTGGGTTTTTGTGGCTGGTGTGTTGGGTGTTAGGGTGGCGGGGATGGAGTGTTAGCCCAGGAGGGGGTGAGGATCTGGCCCGGGACCCCTTTCTGCTCCTCCCTTTCTGTGCTCTCCTCCCTGAATACTGTGTCTTCTCTCTTTTCCAGGACTCCATGAGAGTTTCCCCAAGCATCCAGCCGCAACCGCAGCCTGCCAGGTACACTTGGCAGAGAGGGAGGATATGGGGTATGGGCACCCTCATGTCCTATCCTGAGTTCTAAGACTGATGCTGTATAGTCCTAGTGAGAGGCTGGGAATTTGTGGCCCTTGGCTGTCATCATTGTGAATGCTGGAACAGACCTTGAGGTGATCTCTCTGTTTCCCGCATGAGCTCATCAGTCCTTGTAATGGCACTGAAGGTCTGTGTTGGCAAATGAGTTACTGAGTGTCTGCAGTGACTTGTTCAAGGTCCCCGCTGGCCGGAAGTGGCATTTGAGGCCAGGTACCATCAAGGCCCATGCTGGTTCTGACTCTGTGGATGAGGTCTCTGATTGTAGGGAGGGAGGTCTTTGTAGAGTGATCATTCTCCACACAGGGAAGAGAATACACAGGAGGACTCTGAGCTTTGCTCACACCCAGCCTCTCTGAGGCTCCCTGGTTTCTACCTAGAGCTCCTGTAGACCAAGGTGGCCCTTTGTGCCCCCCCCCAATCCTTCCACTGCCTGGTATACTTAGAGCGGTGATGCCAATCTTGTCCAGCTGGTGGCGCTGTTCAGCTTTTGCGTTCTTCCTGGGACCCAGACTGATAATGGAATGGATCGGTAATTCTGTCCTGTCCAGTACCCCAGGATGACCACCTCTGAGTCATGCCTGTTGTTCTCCTGGATCCTCTCCTTTCTCTGCCTCTTGGAAGGAAAGGCTAGAAAGAAATGGGCTGGGTTTATGAGTTTTTCTGAGGAGGATCCTAGGAGAGTGGAGGGTTCTCAGGTTACCCTGTAGCAGAATTTGGGGTAAGTGTGCAGATGGTGTCTGGTCCCTGGGTAGTAGTCAGAGTTGTATCCAGTGGCTGCTGGGATACAATAGGCACGAGAAGCGGCTGGGATTCAGGTCCCGTTTTAACTGGCTTCTACCCCTGTCATTTCATCAGTGATGAAATGTCTACACATATCCAGACATCTGGGCCCATGTCAACCTTGGATATTTCTAGGCTTCTTGATGTTCTGGGGCTTTTTTTCACCAAGGCCAGAGGATCTGCTGCTTTTAGCACCCTGCAACCTCAACCCCGTACTGCTATAGTATAGCGAAGGTTAGCAGAATAAGGAGTGTTCCCCATCTTGGTTGGGGAGGGAGGATGTGGTAATAGGTTACAGGGGAAGGAGGATGGGGAGGAGGTACCCCAGCAGGTAGCATGTACCCCTTCTCTGATAGAAAATAAAATGGCATAAAGCTGTGAGTTCCATGCTTCCCCCACCTTGTGTCCAGGGGAGAGACAGCTGGCCCAGGGGCTCCCTACCGCTCCTAGGACCCCTAAAACCACTGCAGCAAACACCCAGCACCCTCTCACTTTTAGAATGAGGGGGCCGCGGGCCAAGAATGATCTCTGCAGGGAGAGCTGCGGACAGAGTGCAGGGGTCAGCCTGCTTTATGGAGAGAGGCTGGGATACGCCTGGCCTCTGAGCTCAGCTTGAACCCATGTGAGCATATCACCTGAGCTGCCCCCTTCCCCAGGGAGGCCTCCGGTCTTCTCAGTTTGAGTGCGTGGAGATGGCCAGGGCTCTGCTCCAGGATTCTGGGAGCATCGTTCCCAGTCACTCTTTCCCTCCTGGATCCTTTTAGAAACTTCCACAGGGGGCTGGAGAGATGGCTCAGAGGTTAAGAGCACTGACTGGTCTTCCAAAGGTCCTGAGTTCAAGTCCCAGCAACCACATGATGCCTCACAACCATCTATAATGTGTTCTGGTGCCCTGTTCTGGCGTGCAGTACAGGCACACATGCAGACAGAACACTCTATACATAATAAATAAATAAATCTTAAGAAAAGAAACTTCCATAGTGCGTCAGAGGCAGGGTTGGATTCCTGGGTTCTAACCTGGACGTGTCTTCTACTCAGTCTCTCTAGAAACATGAGTGTGAGCCGGGCCATGGAGGACAGTTGTGAGCTGGACCTGGTGTATGTCACCGAGCGCATCATCGCCGTATCCTTCCCCAGCACAGCCAATGAGGAGAACTTCCGCAGCAACCTCCGTGAAGTGGCCCAGATGCTAAAGTCCAAACATGGGGGCAACTACCTGGTGGGTGGGCCTCACCCCTGCTCTTGATCACCGCCTTTACACTGAGAGTCTCTGCCCACTTAGCAGGCCAGAGCCCCTTCCCTTGGGTACCCTGGGCATCTTGCAAGGCCCAGGTCTTCACTTTAGCTCAGAGAGAGCTGATTTTCAGGAGACCACGTACAATCGTGTGTAGCATCCGGAGCCAAGTGTGTGTTGAGTGTGAGAATGTGTGAGTACCTGTGAGTTCATGTGTGAGTGTGTGTGTGTGAGAGAGAATGTGAGTTCCTGTGAGTTTGTGTGTGAGTGTGAGAATGTGCGAGTACCTGTGAATGCATGTGTGTGAGTGCGTGTGTGTGTGTGTGTGTGTGTGTGTGTGAGAATGTGTGAGTACCTGTGAATTCCTGTGTGAGTATGTGAGGGTGAGAATGTATGAGTACCCATGAATGCATGTGTGTGAGTGCGTGCGTGTATGCGTGTGTGTGTGTGAGTGCATGTGTGAGGGTGTAAATATGTGACTACCTGTGAGTGCATGTGGGGTGAGAATGTGTGAATGTGTCAGTGGGCAGACTAGGAGACGAGGTGATAACCTCTTCACCTTCAGAACAGGCCCTAGAGAGAGCTGAGGTCTGGCTGGTGGAGCTGCTCTGGTGGAGGCCCTGGAGTAGACTTGGCCATGTGCAGTTTTGGGGTACCTTGTGGGTGGCTAGAGTCATCAGATGTCAGGGAGGTGGGTGGCAGAGATAACCTCTATAGCAGGAGAGTGACCATTCCTGGAGGGAGGCTCAGGTCCTGTTCTGGGGAGGTATGTGGGGGCTGGACTGTTGGACCTGAGTCCCTGGGTGCTGCTTGCCATGTTTAGCAGAGCTGGACTGAGGAGGTTGCACAAGGGTACAGGGTTGCTGGAACAAACGGTCACACACTATTTGGCTTAAAATGGCAGGAATGTGTTCTGGAGGCCCGGCATCTGGTTGACAGTGAGGCCATGCTCCCTTGAATACTGGAGAAAACCGCCTTGCTCGCCTTTCCCCCACTCCTGGCCACTCCCAGCACTCCCAGGCATTCCCTGGCTTGTGGCCACATTGCTCCATTCTCTGCCTCCACCCTGACGTGGCCTTCCCTGTCTGCCTCTCCTCTGGTTCTAAGGACATCAGTTGTTGGTCTTAGGATCAGCCTGAATCCAAGGATATCTCCTAGCAGGACCCTTGACTCTGTCCAAAGGTCCCAGATTCTGAAGTTCTGAGTGGACATGCCTCTCTAACAACCTGTCCATCATGTGTACTGAGCATGTGAATGCCTGGCTTTGAATAATAGGAAGCCCTGGCTTCTCATTCTGGTTCTGTGATAGCTGAATGTATGGCCATTAGTTGTGAAGCCAGCTCTGTGACATTGTCAATGTCGTTAAGTATGCTCCTTAACGGGACTGGGAGTATCTGGCTCCAGGAATACAGAGTTCTAGGATGTCTGTCACAGTCCCCTCCTTCCTGCACATTATAGGGTCTATTCCCTCTCCTCCTAGGAGGTGACATAGCTACTGTCAGATTTGTGGTGGCTGGACAGAGGCAGGCAATTCTGCACAGCCTTTCAGGGGTCGAGGAACATGGGAGGTAGGGTAGGCTGTGGGAAGTGAGTAGGGCTTCATGTGTTCGAGGGGACCCACCAGGATGCCTTGCACCTCATGGTAGAAGGAGGTTGCAAGACAGAGAAGCAGTGTCATCGTGGGATTGGGTCCAAAAGCCAAAGGTGGCTGCCTGCTGTCACTCAGCACCAGTGGTCTGGGCTATATCCCTTCTCATCCCCCGTTTAGGATTCTCCCTTGCAAGGGGTCTGGCTGAGTGTGGCAGCATCCACCTTTCCTGAGAACTCATCGCTGAGTCTGTTGGCCAGCATGTGTTCATGGTGGGAAAATTTCTGTTAGGCCGGAGAGTGACAGCAGGTAGAGGAGTCCAAGAGCTCGTGGCTTGCCGGTGGCCAGGCTCCTGCCGAGCAGGGACGAATTTGCTCCTCCTTTCTCTCCCTCACTCCTCTTTCGTCTCTTTCTAGCTGTTCAACCTCTCCGAGCAGAGGCCCGATATCACGAAGCTCCATGCTAAGGTGAGTCTGTGGCTGTTCTCGGATGCCTTAGCCTGACCTAGCCTGGGATAGCAGGAGAGAGAACACATCCCCTCTTGTGCAGTCCCATGACAGTTCCTAGTTCAAGGGCATCTCAGATCTGCAAAATGGACTGTGGTACGAACGAACGAACTACTGAAATTTCACAAAGTGGTTTCTGGCCTCGTCTGCCCCTGGGGAAGAAATACACAGTATTTCTGGGAGTGGGGCTGTGGCTATGCCTTTTCTGTATAGGTCCCTGTCCCAGGATTTACTCTGCTTGCTGAGTGAATTGTTAAAGACTGTGCAGGGGACCTTGGCTTTCACCCTGGATTCTGGTGCCTGCCAGTGTGGGACCTCAGGCAGGTGTTAGACTTCTCTGGGCCTCAGACCGTGCCTCTGAAAGTGGACAGCTGGCTTAGGCATGGTCTGTGGATCCAGCCAGACAGCGGCTCTTTTTATTTAGTGTTATGTGAAGCTAGAGAGGGCTTGAGGAGGGCTGGAGGTTACTGGGAAGTCCTGTTTCTGCACACTTCAGACTTCTCTCGGAGACCTGAAAATGGACAGCCTGTGTATCCAGGGTGGTGTGAGCACCTTTCCCTTCCTCTGTCATCTGAATCAGCCTTAAGTGGGCCTTGGAGGAGAGCTGGAGGGCTGGGATCAGGCCTCTCTGTAAGCTTTTAGATCAGTTTCACATTGTACATCTTGGCTCACATCCGACATGGCTTGCCTGAGACCCTACTGTGAGCCTGGGTCCCAGGTCATGGCCTTTACTCTCTGAGCCTTGCCTCTCAGCAGGACTGGTGAGCGGGATAAGAGCAGAAGCCTGGATGCCGGTGGCTGCTCTCATGCTGTTCTGGCTGACTTGATACAGTCTCCAGGTTCTTTTTTACTCACTTATGTCTCAACTACAGGTCCTGGAATTTGGCTGGCCTGATCTGCACACACCGGCCCTGGAGAAGATATGCAGCGTCTGCAAGGCCATGGACACCTGGCTCAATGCAGACCCCCACAATGTTGTTGTTCTGCACAACAAGGTCAGAGTGCAGGCTGCATGTGCGTGCACATGCCTGTGTGTATGCATGTACATGTTTGTGCACACGCCTGCCTGGGTGTTAAGGTTGTGTGATTGTACTCACCTACCTGTTTGTGTTTTCCATTCTAGAACACTAGGGATTCTGCCCAAGAGTATACCTCCAAGTAATGGGGGCAGGGCAGCAGTTTATATTCCTAGCAGTGGAGGGTGGGCTCGCTTTTCTGACTCCTCCCCTCCGGCCTTCCTCCCCAGTGTTCCTCTTTCTCCAGGACTTCACTCTACTCTCCCAGCCTTGGCCTCTCGGCTTCTAGATGGGCTTTGGACAGCAGGGCCGGTTTGAAAATGATTGCCTTTTGCCTCTTTCAGGGAAACCAAGGCAGGATTGGGGTTGTCATCGCAGCATATATGCATTACAGCAACATTTCGGCCAGGTGAGAGGCCAGCTGTCTTCTGTACCAGCTTCTGTCCTCAGGCATCGGTTTGGGGACACCTCTCTTCCACCTACATGCCTACTTGGAGCCAAGGCCTGCCCTCAGATAGAGGAACGGGGGGGGGGGGGTAAGAGGTACAGGAGCTCCCAGAGCTAGAGAAAGCACCCCAGCTCTGAGGTAGGGTGAAAACAGCTGGCAGCAGGGTGGAGAGCCTTCCCCTGTATGGAAGACACCCACCCAGCAGCTTTAGGGGCCACATTTCCTCTCTCAGCTGTCTTCTGTTCCCCTGGATGAGCCAGGAAGAAGCCAACAAGATGTTGCATCAGAATTGGGCCCAGGAAGTTATCTCAAGCAGGCAGGGTTTTCTTTTTGCCCTGGTGTTCAGGAGAAAGAACATGAACCAGCCAGGGGGGCAGATTCCATCTGACCTAACTCAGCACAGACACCGAAGGCTCCTTCACTCAGCATGGCTGCCTAGAGGTTTCTATGTCCAGGACTATGTTGCAGTGGTGCTTGGCAGGATGCAGAGGGCACAGTCCAAGTCCTGTACTTGAGGGCTTTAAGTACTGAACAAGTTTGTCAGCAGTATCCGAGATTGTGGCTATGAAAACACAGAGGCCATAAGTGGCTGGGGGTATGTGGGCAGGGGGACCTGTGGCTATAGAGACCTAAAGGATTTCTGTCAGTCATGGAGGGGAGCTGTGTGTATGAATAAAGAATAGAGTATAGAGTCAGAAAAGGCTTGGGGCAATCAGGATAACAGAGAACAATGGCCTTGCTGGCCTTAATGAGGACTTTGGATTTACTGTAAGCATGATGGGAAGTTATTGGAGCACCAGGGTGATCTTTCCATGCTCAGAGGATAGGTGGTGTGCAGTGTGGAGGGTATCTGAAACCAGCCCAGCCTTGTGTCTGCTGAGTGGGCACTGAGGCTGCCAAGCTCTTAATGGGTGTCACCTCATCTAATCTCCTTTAAGCCTCATTTGATGAGGGGAATGAGGTTTTATGGAAAGGATTATGTCTCAGGAGCAATTAGTAGTAGTTAGAGATGGGTGCCCAAGTGGTTTGGCTGTAGAGCCCTTGGCTGAGTGCTGCACCATACAAATAGGGTTTCTGTTGCGGTGAAAAGACACCATGACACCCAACTCGTATAAAGAAAAATGTTTAATTGGATGGCTTGCAGTTCAGAAGTTTAGTCCATTACCATCATGGTGAGACATGGCGGCATTCAGGAAGACATGGTGCTGGAGAAGGAGCTGAGACTTCTGTATCTTTGATCCACAGGCAACAGGAAGTAAACTGAGACACTGAGAGTGGTTTGAGCATAGGAGACCTCAAAGCCCACCCCCACAGTGACACACTTCCTCCAACAAAGCCATACTCACTTCAGCAAGGCCACACCTCCTAATAGTGCCATTCCCTATGAACTTATGGGGGCCAATTACATTCAAACTACCATACTGAGCATGTTCTTCCTGAAGGCTTCTTAGTGCAGTATGGTTGGAGGAGGGATTTGTCCTTTCACGGCAACCAGGGTTTTCTGGGGGCTGTGCAAGCCTAAGGGGAACCTGAGTGATGGGGTCAAGGGGCCCTCAGTTGTGGGAGTGGGTTTCTTTGATTATCTGTGTCTCCCCACAGTGCTGACCAGGCTCTGGACCGGTTTGCAATGAAGAGATTCTATGAGGATAAGATTGTGCCCATTGGCCAGCCATCCCAGAGGAGGTGAGTGTCTGGTCTCCAGGCCCAGTGTGTGCGTTCCCTGTGGTGGACACTGACCATGTACACTCTCAGGGGATGGACATCTGCTTTACTAAGGGTATACCAAGCACAGGCATTAAGACTGTAGTGGCATGGGCCTGGCCTACTGGTTGGGGTGTCAGTTGGCTTCTGAGGCCTCTAGCAGAAGGCAGTCTGTTGTGACATGACTCTGGAGAAACAGGTGCCTATGTAAGAAGACACATGCTGTTCTTGGTCTTAGAGGCAGGATAACTTCAGTGTGTAGATGAGTACGCATGACACTGATGTCCCTAATGTCCGTCCTTGGAGGTCATAGATAGCACTATATATGGGGAGAATTTATAGTATTTTGCTAAGGGCCTCAGCTGGAGTATATGATAAATAATAGCCTAGACAGGGAGCAGAGTCATTAATCACCAAAGTTGATGCTGTAGCTGTGGGCACTGGGACATCCAGGCTAACAGAGCAGGGTCCCGCCTCCCTCCCCCAGCACGAGGGAGTTGTGGGTTGAGATTGATAGGAATCAAACAAGTGACCATCCAGAAAAGACAGTGCTAGACAGGAAGAGGGGAGAGAGAGGCAGAGACAGGATACAGAGAGACAGAAACAGGACAGAGAGAGGGGATAGAGTAGAGAGAGGGAAGAGAGAAAAGAGGCATAAGAGAAGGAATAGAGGAGGGGAAAGAACAAAAGAAGGCAGAGGAGAGAGACAAGATAGAGAAGACCCAAGTCAGGGGTTTGCTTCTGCATTCAGTGATGTAGGGAACTGGAGACAACATCTCTGGAGAAGGTGTTTTTGAAGCCCTAACTGGGACAGTGGTGATGACCAGGGCACCCTTCTTTTAAGATGAGAAGTCTGAGGTCAGGGTGGGGACAGGGCTGGGTGCCACAGTGAGTGGTGGCTGAGCTGGGATATAGGTGCAGGCTTGGGGACCTGGGGCCAGGTGGTGTCTGGAAGCACTGCCTGATGCCTTTCAGGGGTCTGCCCATGGATGGCACATGATTCAGTGATGTCTGAGGGGAGGGAGGTCAAGGACAGTGTCAAGGTCATGGGGAGGCTATAGCCATGGAAAGCCCTAGCCTCGGCTGGAGACCTAGAGAGCAGGAGCCCTGGTGTGGTTGTGAGTTGTGGGCCTGCTATCTATCTGTGCCCCATTCTCACACCAAGGACAGGGCACTAAATCTGTCACACAAGGGCATGTGCAGACAAGCTTCTTATGAACAATTGCATGCTTGGAAACAGAACATTGCTGCAGTTGCTAGCAGGTGTTTTTGAAGAAAGTTCAAACCATCGCTGCTGGAGTGATGACTAGGCACGGGGCTGGTTCAAAGTGACACATGACAGGGGAAGGTCTGAGCAAGAAGGGTGAAGGTAGGCGGGGGGGGGGGGGCGTGGAAGCCAAGGATAGAGTTCTGGGCATAGCAGGCAGGAAAGCTGGAGGCTAAAGGCCTTCTTGGCTTCTGTGGCTCCTAGGAACTTAGCCATAGACTCTAAGGGCCCTTCCTGCCTCTTCACATTGGGGATCTCCACCATATCCCCATATCCCCAACTTGCGTACCTGGGTAGGATCTGCAGTCACTGCTGGGGACCATTATTGCCTTTGTAGTTGGAAGCCCAGATAAAAACACAGGAGTCCTCACCAGGCACCCAGGAGCCCAGCACTTTGCAGTAGTGCACCCTTACTTCCTGTCTGCCTCCTAGAAGCCGTCAGCACTGGTCTGAGGCTCTTCCTCAGGCTGAAGCATGGCACAGGGTTCTGGCACAGGGTTCTGGCACACATGCATGGCAACAACGTCTCAGTCACCTTTGACCCTGAGGGTTACAGTCTACTTACTAACAGGAGTGTGGCTTGGAGAAGGTGGGCTGAACAGTTGCTGTGATGCTGAGCAGTGGAGACCTGGGCTCCCCTGGTCAGAAAGAGAAGTCCAAGGGATCTCTCACATGCCTACATGCCAAGCAGTTGTCATGTGGATTTGTCTGCTTACGTCATCAGTGTCTGCCCACAGCTCCCATGGGCCACTGCATTTGTTGGGTGGGGGCAGGCCAGGTCCTCCACACCCATGAGAAAGTGCAGCGGTTGGTTTCCGGAACGTTCCCTGCCACTTTCCCTCTGCTTTCTTGTCAGTGTTGCTTGCAGGGAGCTTGGCAGTTGGAGAGGGAAGAGCAAGGAATGAGCGGGAGGGGGTTTGCCTATAGTTTACCCATTCACTGTCACCCGCCCTCAGACTCATTGTCCCCAGAACACAGACACATCCTGTTGGCCTGGTCAGGCGATCTCATAGGAACGTGCCATTCCAGGTTTCCGGTTTGAGCAATGGGCAGGGGGGCTGGGCAGGGCCCTGAATAGGAGCTGGCAATGCCCATCAGATTATCTTGCTAGGAGAGGCAGAAATGGCCCCACCCAGGCTCAGGGACTGGACCTGGAGGAGGGCCAAGGGACCAAGAGATGCGGGGGAGGTGTTGTCCTGGTGTCATAATTGGAGTCTCACCCTCCTGTGGAACTATTGGCTCCTGTAGAGTACTAGACTGCATTTGATTGGTTTGTCTCATCCAGCCTGCTTCTCTAGCGAATCAGAAAGGGGGAAACGGCAGCCAATCAGCACCAGAGGACTGATGTGTGGTTCAGGAGATGCTTTGGGGTCCAGGCTTCTCTCTGTCTCTCCCATTCCCTGCCTTGTGTGATGTGCGTCACAACTTTCTCTGGACCTGATTTTCCCTCTCTGCTCAGAAGGAAAGGAGATGGCTCGGTCCTTCCATTCTGCCAGCAAGATCTTTATTAAAAGAACTGGAGGTTGCTGGGGCTGGTGATGTAGCTTCCCATGTTGAGTACTTAGCATGCAGGAGACACACACGCACACACGCATGCACACACATGCACGTATGCACACTACAAACAAACAAAATTCCCAAAGAAACAAACTAAAATCCTAACTACAAACCAACCTAGAGGCAGGATGCTTATTCGAAGTTAATTATCTCAGATCCTGAGTAAAGAAGCTAATATAGAAAACTCCATACATTCAGTGGGAAATAAAATAGGCACTGTAATTGCTAAGCATTTACTGTCTGCTGTGTGGCTTGGTATGTGTGACAGGGCCTAGTGTAAGTTTGCAGTGAGAATAGTCATAAGCTGGGTTTGGCCCAGTCAGGCTGTTAGGGATGCTTGGCTGGGCAGCATGCTTGGTGCAGTTGTAAGCTGCTAAGTTGTCCCTGCCAGGGATGATGGGATGATGCCTGGGTTGGGAGTGAGGAAGGAAAGAGATGCTCATGTTCACCACCAGGGGGTGCCAGAGAATGCCAAGTGGGCTCTAGGCTCTGCAATTTTTTAGGTCTTATGTTCTTTGCTTTCTGGGCCTCAGCAAGTCTGAAGGCCTGCACTGGCTGGGAAAACTCAGTTGCTGTGTGGCCTGGGTGGGTGCATGTTCCATGGGGGTGAGGGTAGATGGAAGCCTAGGGTGGTGTTCTTGAAGAAAGAGTGAATGGATAGGATAGATAAATAATGTGGATGGATGGATGGGTAGGTCGGATGGATAGGTGAGTGGGTGGGCAAATGGATGTGTGGATGGGTGGGTGGGTGGATAGAGGACTTCTCAGACCCTTCCCTGATGCTACCCTATCCCTGTCCAGGTATGTGCACTACTTCAGTGGCCTACTCTCTGGCGCCATCAAAATGAACAACAAGCCCCTGTTTCTGCACCATGTGATCATGCACGGCATCCCCAACTTTGAGTCTAAAGGAGGTACCTGCCCCATCCCCTCCCTCCAGCCTCCATTTCCTTCTCGGTGGCCTTGGGTGGTAAGCCATATGCTATGCTCTACTGTCATCTAGGCTCGTGTGGGGCTCTCAGCAGAGCTCCGCCCTGTTCCTCTGCAACATGGGGTTGACACCTGGCCATGCCTAGTGGCAGAAGACACTGGGAGAGGCATTCTTTGTCTGCTTAAAATGCCTTAGAAATGAAGCTAGTATTTCTTCCTTCTGTTTCTCTTCCTCTTTTCCTCCTTTCCCCTCCCTATGTCCCTCATTTACCCAGCCGTTAGCTCACACTTTCCCCTCTCTGACAGGGTGCCGACCGTTTCTCCGCATCTACCAAGCTATGCAGCCCGTGTACACATCTGGCATTTAGTAAGTAGTCTGAGTGAGTGAGGAAGGGGTGGGGGGAGGAAGGGAGAAGGGAGCCTGCTTCCTCAGCAGCACTCTCCCTCATCGCCTCTCTCCCTCTCAGCAACATCCCTGGAGACAGCCAGGCCAGCATCTGTATCACCATTGAACCAGGGCTGCTCCTGAAGGGAGACATCTTGGTGAGCTCTACCCTCCTCCTCCAGGGTTCCTTCTCTTGTCCTGCTCTCCCATCACCGTGGGGGCATGGGACACGCAACTGCTCCAGGGGAGCCATTGAGTTTGGAACTGTGGGTTTTCCTAGCTCCTCCCAGACTCACTCTGCCCTGGTCCTCCTTCCTCCCTTGGAGTGGGCATTCTTTTCCTAGCTTCATCTTTTGCTTTGGGGCAGCTCCAGGGAACTGTCACTCAGTGTTAACTGTGACCCTCTAGATCTAGGCTGGCGATAAGACACTCCCAATTCTAAACTCAGACTGGCTTGCTGTAGTTTAAGGCCATGTTTCCCTCTCCATACCCACCTGAATTCAGGAACATCTGGGAGGACATTCCCCACAACTCCAGACTGTTCCCCTCCTCTTCTGTTCTAACAATTTCCCAAAGAGCTTTGCAATCTTGTTTGGCATTGGTGACTTCTCTCTCCTGGGTTTGGGGTGAACCTTGGAGCTCAGCTAATAGAACGAGTTATGAGGATCCCTGCAACCTAACTTTCATCCTTTGTCCCCTTCCCACACAGCTGAAGTGTTACCACAAGAAGTTCCGAAGCCCGGCTCGAGACGTCATCTTCCGAGTGCAGTTCCACACCTGTGCCATCCATGACTTGGGGGTTGTTTTTGGGAAGGAAGACCTGGATGAGGCCTTCAGAGGTGGGCTCCCTGATGGGCAGGATGGGGCTCTATCAGGAGAGGAGCCCAGTGTGGAATGAAGTGTGGATGCAGGGGTTATCGTCTCTGAGTCACGTGGTTTGTCAAGTCCCAGGGGGCTCTTGACAGTGCCAGGAAACTGAAGGAGAATCGTGACAGGCCTGAGGTTGGGGTGATATAGTCGTTCAGGAGGAGCAGCACGGGAGCTGCTGCGAGTCTCAGGGCAGATTATAATCCGTCTTGAGGGGAGATGATGGTGCAGCTGACAAAGTCAAGAGGAGGTTGAGGAGACACAGAGGGAAAGGGATCCCAATTACTTCTTGTACGGTGCAAGGATTGTGTTTATCTAATTATTCTTTATCAATAAAAAATCGGGAGCCAGATATCAGGGAAAGAATCTGAATAATCAGAGAAATGGCAGAGAATCAACCCGTGACCTCCCGTCTCTTCCATTCCTCCATCCAAAACGACTGAGATCCTCTCTAAGCCATGTCTTATTACTTCCTGTCTCTCTATCTGTCCTCAGTCCTCCAAACCTCTATGATTAATTTTGGTCAGTTAGTAGCTAACTTTGTCCTCTGATTCAAAGCAGACTCTATTGTCAGAATGTGATCAAAGTATCACACAACATTTCTCCTTTCTGTCTAAATTAAAATGGAAGGTTTTAACTCTAACATAGTAAAACTATATATGATAAGAACAATTGTTGGGTAAGAATTACATTCACAATGTCCAATCCATTTACATTTGGCAAATTCATAGAAAATACTCTATTGTCTATCCTATCCTGGTGAGTTCAAAGTTTTGTACCTAATTCACTTTCTGTCCTAACTTGTATTACCAACCCAAAACTATCCTTTTATGTTTCTCAACCTTATACACTTTACACCTTTTTTTGTGAGTTTCTTTTCTGGATTTGGTAACATGGAAAACTATAACTATAACTATCTAATCTTCAACTCCATCAGAGACCTGAGAAGGATATAATATTACCTGTGTAAACAGGAAGTGCAGAGCAAGCAACTTCCAGAACTATAGAAAAGATAGAAACATCTGCTCTCTCTGTAACAATGGAGCATCCATCTCTGACCTACAGGCCTAGGATATCTGACAGACTTTTCTGTGAAGCAGGAATTTTAAAGAACTGTTATGTTTTGTCTTGGCAAAGTTTGGCAGTCACTTTCTTATTGTGTCCTGCTTGCCCAATTTGGACAGCGTACTGTCAGCAGTCAAGCAAGGACAGTTTCTTGCCCAGTGGATAACTTTTGCCACACAGAAAGCAAACTCCATATGGAGTTTCTTTGTTGCCCATCATCTTCTCTGAAGTAGATTGGTGCTGCCAGGAGCAGACGAGTCTCATTGTCATAAAAAACCTCATATTATTAAAACATCTTAAATGACATATTCTGTAGATCTCTGAAGTGTGTGAAGACTACCTGTCCAAAATATGTTTGACCTTGAAGATATACCTAACATGACTACAAGTTTGATTGTAATAGATGAGTAACTGCTAACCTGCATTTCTTTATTATCCTAAATAGTTTGTAATAATAAATTTTGAGGACTAGAAAGTTACATTATATTGTTAAATGAGAGGCATAGGTACAATATCTTAAACCATAGTAGACATATATATATATACAATATTCTAACAAAAATAACCTTAAATTTGTATTAATATACAAAAACATCTTAAACAAGAATAGGAACATATATGCAATATAACAAAAATCCATACCAATGTAAAATATTTAAGACTAGTAGTTGCTTTTTAGTTTAAAAGTAGATTCAATAATCTACCCTTTTATCCCATTATTTCTATATCCCATCTTTTTCTTTTCAGAATGAGATCCCTGAATCTAATCTCCTTTGTTAAGCATTTTTCTTAACCATTACTGATAACAACTTGTAACCAACCCCCTAAACAATGACAAATATCCATAACTCACTGAATGACCAAAAACCATCTACCCTACCTCTTGGGAATGTGGGTGTTGTGTACTCTAGATTTCTTCCTGTTGTCTGGGGAGCAATGGCATTTCTAGGGGATTTGAGGAAATTGAGATAATGGTCAATTGTATATCATTTGTTGCCAGTCTCTGGGCAAAAGTGTGGAGCTTATCTGACATCCTGGCTAGAGTAGTGCATGAGGCTGGACCTTGAAATTGTCCTGAGCAATTTGTAGTCCAAAGCTGATCTTTGGGTGGTTTTTGTCAGCTTAGTGGCATTACTACAGTCCAGGTAGAATCATTGTTGTGGCGGTCCCATCATCTTTTTGTAGACTTCAAAAGTCACTGTTAAGAATGGTCACAGTTCATTGCAGAAAACTTAACATTTTAAAAGTCATATGCAGCAGATCTTAGAGAGGTTAAAGGACCACAATTTAATTCCTAGTTACCTGATAGGTACTCAAACCCGAAATCATTTACACTAATATAAGTGAAACCTATTTCTAGAATTAGTTAGTACTCTATATTATCGTTAATCATGACAGAAAGTTTAAAAATATATATTAATCCTAAAATTTTAAAGATAGTATTTATACCTTAAAAAAGTTTTACAGAGTCAAAATAAGACCAAAAGATTATTAGATTAGTGGTAGTAGAGTAAGTAGTCCCTTAAATTTTTTTTTAATGTCTTATACCAGCAGGCTATCTTGACATGAGGCAGAAATTTTTGATTTTCTTTTAACAAGCATGCTTGGATTTAGAGAAGGAGAGAGCCATGCTCCAACTCCAAAGCCAGCTTTAATTTTTAATTGAACTGGGGACACAAACAGATCCTTTGTCTTATATGTCTGTAGAGAGCAGCAGAAGCAAACAGTTGAGAAGATTTATGAAATTTTATCCTGTTGGAAATGTAATATACCATTAGGCCAATTTACTCTTTTTCTTGGGACATTTTCTCTAGATGATTCATCTTTTTTCTTCAGATGTCTCATTTGTCCAGTGTTCTTGTTCTTCAGATTACTTAGTTGGATGCCTTTATTCTCCTGGAAAGAAAAAGAAAAGCAAAACCCTGCCCCAATCCTATAGCTGGTCAAATGAAAAGTTAGTTTAGATTGAACGGCTACACTGATTGTGATGAACTATTGCCTCTTTTAATTGAAAGTCTCTCCTGTTTGAATCTAATCTTTATCAATTTTGATGGTATCCATAGTTTTCCTTCTCCCGTGGAAACAAAAGCAAAACCTCTTTTCCAATGTAGCACATATCCTGGTTTCCATTTCTGAGGTCAACACATCTTTGAAGTATGCAAGCTGATTTAATTCAGCATGTGTTTTTCCTATTATCCAATGTCTCTCTGTAACTGTCATTACTTTCTCATATCTCTTAGAGTGTGGTTAGATATTTATGTTGTAATGTGCAAAAAATTGTTTCATTTTATTACAGACATATGCCATAGAATTGTCAGTCTTAATTTGTACAGGTATACCAATGATGGCCATAACTTCTAATAAATGTGTAATTACAGAATCAACCTTTTAAGAACTCAAAGAAATTGCCTATTGAAATCCTGAATATGTATTTATGGGATGGTGTGCAGTTTTTAATTTTTCCAAACTGCAAAATGAAACACATCCATTTACCAAATTTCATTTCTTTGCGTACCCTTTGGGTTGCTTCTTGCAGGAAGTGAGTGGAGTTTGGTTATATAAAGAACAAGTAGGACATTTCCTTATAATTTCCTTGACTTGTTACCAAATGATATAAAAAGCAAGCATGGAGAACCATTGAGAATTGACAGACCACAAACAGAAGCTTAGCCACAGTATCTGTCCTAGTTAGGATTGCTATTGCTGTTGTCAAACACCATGATCAAAGCAAGTTGAGGAGGAAAGGGTTTATTTGGCTTACACTTCAGTATTGCTGTTCATCATGGAAGGAAGTCAGGGCAGGAACTCAAACAGGCCAGGAACTTGGAGGCAGGAGCTGAGGCACAGGCCATGGAGGAGTGCTGCTTACTGACTTGCTCCCTCTGGCTTACTCAGCCTGCTTTCTTATATGGCCCAGGACTACCTGTGGAGGGATGGTATCACCCACATGGGGTGGGTCTTACTGTATCTATCACTAATTAAGAAAATTCCCAACAGGCTTGTCTACAGCCCGATTTGTGGAGGCATTTTCTCAATTGAGACTCCCTCTTCTCCAGTAACTGTTGACATAAAACTAGTCAGCACAGTGTCTGAGTGAATCAGTGGAATAAATAAAAACCTACCCAGATTTTAAAAAGAAAGGAGGCAGGGTGTGGTACAGTATGTCTGTAACTCAGGAGGCTGAGGCAGGAGGGTTTTGAATTCAAACCCAGCCTGGCCCTGTATTGGGGGGGGCTAATAACCGAAGACAGATAATTTGCCTTCATAGCAGTGAAGCAAAGGGACTTCCTAGAAATAGTGACTGTGATTTAGAGCCCTAAAGATGGAATACTGTAGTTAGAAACTGAAAGGGTTGTGTTCGCCTCAGGAAGTAGAACTCTGACAAGGCTGAAGCTTGCAGTGCCAAATGTGTGATTGGGTTAGGTATGTACCTCAGTTGGTAATGTGCTTGCCTAGTGTGCTTGTGATCCCTGGGCTTGACCCCCACCATGTATAACTTCAACTGTCAAGAGGTGGAGGGCAAGAGGTTGAAGTCTATGCTTAGCTACATAGTGAGTTTGGGGCCATCTTGGGCTACCTGAGAGCCTGTCTCAAAGTATTTTTTTTCACTATGCACATGCAACTTCCTCTGTGTAAAAAGCAAATGTAGACATGCTATCATATTATCAACCACATATGCATATATGAATTCTTTTCTAGAAGAAACCTCTCTTTTGGGGAGTCTGGGACCCATTTTCTCCTTTTTTTTTCTTTTTCAGATGACCGATTTCCTGATTATGGCAAAGTGGAGTTTGTCTTTTCCTATGGGCCAGAGAAAATTCAAGGTACAGACCACATTTCAGACCTTTCCCTGCATCCTCATCTGTCCCCATCTCACCCTTGGTGTCCTCCCCCTAGTCACCTCTACTTTAGAGGTGGGTATCAAAGTGGACTTCCAGCTAACCCAGATCCAGCACTTCTATACAACAAGAATAAATGCAGACAGTGAGGTGCTGAGTTGACTAAACTGTTCTGGTCCCTTTAGGCCACCATCTTGTTATATTCAGAAACTGAGGGCCTTGGCAGATGGAAGGGACAGCCAGAGAACATTCCGAGGTGCTGGGTGGATTGTGGGTATTTATGAACCGAAGTGGCTCAAGCTGAAGGCCAGTTTAATAATAACTTTTCTTCCTCTAGACTCTAAATACGGAGGCCAGTTGCTCTTCATCTTATTTGAGAACAGAATGAGAGGAGATGAAGTTAGTTTACAGGCAGAGGGATTCTGGGTAGACTAAAGAAAGGACTGCCAAAGCAGGAAAATAGGCTACCCTGGATGACCTGAGTATGTGCTGTGTTGACTCTGAGGTTGCAATAGAGACTGGCCTGTCCTTGTGGATGTCTGTCTGGAGTAGGGAGCATCTTAAGTGGAGGCAGAGGCAGACCTAGGATGACCTCTCCAGGCTGTGTCCTCTCAATGTCCTGGCTGTGATTTCCATGCTGTCCTTACCTACAGGTGGTCCAGGACAAACCTGTCACCTATTCCTTCTCTAGTCTCCAGAGCTGACCCTTGTTCCTGCCCCAGGACCATAGATGATATAGAAGCAACCACCCAGAGAGTGGGGACATGTTTTCTCTAGGGTGTGTGTATGTGGGTTCTTTCTTTAAGGGCTCTGTCCTGATTTGCCCCTATGACCTGGTCCAAGACTACTGGGTTATTCAGGCAACCCAAGTCATTGTCCCACCCTAGATACTCAAGACAACAAGCAGTTCCTCAGGGCTGGTCCATGGGGGAGCTCATGGGCCTTCTGCTTTACCAAACGCTCATCTCATTCCCTCTGTCCCCTCTGTCCCCCACTGACTCCCCACAGGCATGGAACATCTAGAGAATGGGCCCAGTGTATCTGTAGATTATAACACCTCTGACCCCCTCATCCGCTGGGATTCCTACGACAACTTCAATGGACATCGTGAGGATGGCATGGAGGGTAGGTGACCCATAACTGCCAGACTTTTGCTGAACTGGGCATGCCCGGCCTGTGTGACCTTGGGTCTCTGTAGAGGAGGTGACTTTAAGTGCAGCTGGCAGTCCCTGCTCCATCTCTTTGGAACCTGGCCTCAGGTGGCTCCAGGCTGCTGTTTGTAATCTTAGAGGTCAGGGCATGGATATATAGATGAAGTATTGGTGCTCTAACAGCTTACATGAGGATCTAGTAAAATTGTCTGAGAACTCAATGTGGGGTTCCAAGATGCAAGACATAAAAGAAAGAAAGAAAGGAAGGAAGGAAGAAGGAAAGAAAGAAAGAAAAACACCCAACTGCAGAGGAAGTACAGTGCCATTGGCTACTTAACGTGCCTGAAAACACCAATGTATTTCCTGCCCAGCTGCAGTCTGGTGTGCTGTGTGTTGTGTGGCTAGTCTGTTGATTTGTTTGGCTCTTGGAACATGTAGGAGGGGTGAGAGGCAGAGCCTCTGGAAATGAGCACAAAGCCTTGAGATGCCCCCTTGGGTTTGGCTCTCGGCCTGTTTTCTGATCCAGCCACAGATTGGCAGAATGTTAGAGCAGGTTGGAGGGTCTGCATCTGTCTTCAGAATTGGGGTAACAGATCTTCTGGAAGGCAGGACCATGACTCGCCCCTCTCCACCAAAGCTTGCTGGGACTTGCTCCGGTGATGGGGTGAGGAGGGAGAGCATGACCGGGGACTCTCACCTGTTAACCTCACTTCTGCTGTCACCCTTGCCCAGGCATCCTGTGTGGCTCTACTCTAGAAGCCATGCTACAGCCACCAGCCAATATCAGACAGTCTGGAGGAGGGGGGGCTAGGTTAGATTTCGGGGGTTCCACGAGGGTGCGCTTGTGTGCTGCACCCCAAGGTTGGTGGCTTGCCATCGTACCCTTCCAGCTGGGCTTCTTCTGCCACTATGATCCTTGAACACCCACAGTTCCCGTCTTCTGAGTGGCCGAGTGGCCTGGGCATGGCGTGCAACTGGCGATGGACTGAATCAGTCTCCGAGGCTGCCGCTGTCAGCCTCATTGTTTCTCATGCTGGGGAAGTTTGCATTTTTAACAAGAACACTTGGCGATTTGAAGGAATTTTTAATGCCTCGCCGTCTCTCCCTGGTCCAGATTCAGTACAGTGATCGGTGTAAAACATTCATGAGCTCTGAAGTGCCTAGAGAATCAAAGGTAGAACAATTAAGGACTGGAGGAATGGATGGGACCAGCTGGAGGGAAGGAAGGAGAGCAGAGGGTAGGGTCTGAACAGGGAAACCTGCTGGAGCATTCAGAGGACAGGCAGGACAGACAAGGGAAGGCCCTGGCTGGCTCTGAAGTCCTCACCCCACGATCTGCTTCCCTAGCAGGGAATGGAGCTGGCAGGACCTCGGGCCAGTTACAAGGTCAGCTGGTCCTATCAAGGACAGAGGGGCTTCTATACTCAGACAGAGAAGCTGGCTCTCTGCCCGCAGCAGGGCAGTCAGGCCTCTGCTGTCCCCTTCCTTGCTTGGCCTGACAGCCTAGGCTGGGACACTTGCCAGGAAACAGATGCCCTGGCTTCTGACTGTGTGTGTTGTGCTGCCTGCCTCTGGGTTGCATCCCCATTGGGCCTGGAGACCCCAGGGCGAGCCCAAAGCTTAAGCATGACCCTTGTCCCAGGCCTGTCCCAGTCTGGGGGCCTTTCCATGGAAGGGTCTCTATCCTGGGGCCCAGTGGGGAAAGGGCTTGTGTGTGTGTGTGTGTGTGTGTGTGTGTGTGTGTGTGTGTGTGTGTGTAGCTGATGGTCAAGAGGAGGGAGCAGGGGACTGCTTGTCACCTTTTCATCTGTGCTTAGGCTGGGAGGAGGAGAAGAGAGGCAGAGAGGAAAAGATGGAAGCCCATGTTGGAAATAGACTCCGTCCAGGGGCAGTGGCCAGGGAGAGGAGTCCTGCCGTCTCCGGGACTTCTGTTGTCTTCGCTGTCTTGGGTAACCGTAGGTGGCCTTAAGTGACGGATATTTACTCTCCTGGTTCTGGGACAGGATTCTGAGACCAGGGCTGGTGTCCCTGAAGCGTGTCCTCTCAGCATGTAGACTCTGCCCTTGCCCTGTGTCCGCACGTGTCTCCCTCTGTGTGCCGGGATCCTGACTCTCTTATTTAGGGACCAGAAGTATACTGGAGTGGGACCCGCCTTAGTGGCTTTCTTTTGCTGTAGCCGACTCGTTCAGCCCCTGCACTCTTCAGCCTATGGCCCAGAGGTGATGGCTCAACCCATCGTGTGTAGGATGGAGCTTTTTGTGTTCCGTACAGCTGAACATCCAGGCCCAGGATTCTGACTAGGGAAAAGTGAGAATCCTGGGTTGTGGTGGGGAGCTGTCTGGCCTCTGTTCCCCTCCTCTTCGAAGCGGCCTCCGCCTCCCTCTGAGTTGGTGTGGAGCCAGCCAGCTTGGCCCTGGCTGACACCACAGTTTGAGCCTCCAGGAGTCCCATTAGCTCCTTGGCCCGAGTTCTGAGCCCCATGCCCAGGTCCCAGCACCCCTTGGGTGGGAGTAGGGCTTTGTTTCTGCCTATGCTGCACAGAGCAGCGTCCAAATTCTTCCGGAGGGTTCCAAGACACCACTCTCTGAAACAAGTTCCAGTAGCAGGGTGGGGTGGCCTCTGCTTCTGAGGGGCTGAGGAGTCAGGAAGCTGAGCTGCCCAGTGCCCTCCACTTGGCCATCAAGCTAATGGGAGTCAGGAGGGGAACCAGGGCTGGTGCTGGGTAAATGGGAACATAGAAGCAGACTGGAAGCCAGGGTGAAGGGAGAAGAAAGTTCATCCCATGCCTAGTGGGGGTGACAAGGATGCTATTATCATCCCTTCTGGGCTTTGCTTGTGTGAGGTACCCAGCTGAGCCAGGCAGGTGGTGAGGGGTTGGTTTGATGTCTAAGCTTCTAGGTGCTCAGGCTCTGAGGAGAACCATGTATTTTCTTAGGGGAGAGTTCTAACACCTCTTCAGTTCTTCTGTCTCAGCTGACAGGCGTCCCCTTGTCTACAGTTAGGAGTCCCTGGTCTGGGTGACTATGGTGGTGATCTTGTCCAAGGACAGACTTTTTTATTTTATTTTTATTTTTTGAGAGAAATGGGGGAAGATAGGGGAGGGAAAGATGCTGCAAAGAGGCAGCAAACGAGGAGAGAGACAGAGGAATGACGTGGAGAGATGGGGAGGAAGATCTGGGCCAAGGGTGCTGGGCATCCCTGGCGACCCCTTCCTGTGGGGCTTCATTTTCAGTCCATATAGAAATGGGATGTAGGGGGCTGTGGAGTTGGCTCAGTGGTTGAACACACTGGCTGCTCTTCTAGACAGGATGTGAGTTCAATTCTCAGCACCCACATGGTGGCTCACAGCATCTGTGACTCCAGTTCCAGGGGCTCTGATGCCCTCTTTTGGTTTCTGAAGGCACCAGGCACACAGGTAGTGCATATGCACACATGTAGGCAAAAACACCCATGCGTAGCCGGGCGTTGGTGGCGCATGCCTTTAATCCCAGCACTCGGGAGGCAGAGGCAGGCGGATCTCTGTGAGTTCGAGACCAGCCTGGACTACCAAGTGAGTTCCAGGACAGCCTCCAAAGCCATAGAGAAACCCTGTCTCGAAAAACCAAAAAAAAAAAAAAACAAAAAACAAAAAACAAAAAAAAACACCCATGCATAGAAAAAAAAAAACAAAAGAAATAGGATGTAGGATTAGACAGCATTTCTTCTCATTTTGAGTTCAGCCAGTGTTTCCTTTGGGAGCTTATGAGAAGCTGAGATGGTCCTGACTCATTTACCTTTTTCAACTGTTAAGCTCCAGAGGGAAAGAAATAGTAGGGTGGTTGCATCAGTTAGCCTAGGCCAGCAGATGCTTCAGTAACAAACAGCCCCATTCGCATGACTTCCTCTAGCCAAGCAAGGTATCTGTCCAAATTTAGGGTGGGTATAGGCCTCTGTTCATCCTAGTTTCCCTAGGGAGGGTGGCCTCATCTCTCTCATCGATGCCACCACAGGAAGGGGGCTCTGACGTTCATTAGGCTTCTGCCAGGAACTGACATGATCTTTCTGCTCACATCTCTCTGCTCAAACCAAGGTGTATGTCTAGCTTCAAAGGGGGCAGGGATGCTCTGCTTGCATGGAAGACTGAAAGCTTGAGGACAGGTGGAACAGACCACTGTGTGCTGCAGAGCAGAGTCAGTGGTGTGGAGTCTACAGTCAGACAGTCTGCGAGCTTGTGTGTAAAGCTGTGCCTCTCTGAGACCTTGTCTGTAAATCAGGTGCCATAACAGGGCCTTCTACCTAGGGGTGATGCTTCAGAGTCAGTGAGGGTCAATGCCAGAAGTTGAGTGTTTGCTAAGTGCTGTGTTGGCAGGACTTTGTGTCTGTGGCGTCCATGCTGGAGTAGACAAGACAAAGATGGGATTTTAATTTTAATTTTTCTAAGAGGGAAAGATCCCCTTCCCGTCTACTCAGTGGGAATCATCCACATCTGACCCACTCTTGGGACTCAGGACACTTGCCCAAGTCTTCAGGTTCTTTATGAGTCAGTTAAGGGGACTGGGTTCCTAAAGGGAGTGCCATCTAAACCACGATGATGGTGATGCCGCTGCTGTTGCTGACCATGATGGTGGTGACCGTCATAGCACATTCTGGGTGCTGGATGTTTTTGGTTAACCCCGTGAAACAACGTTGGCCAAGCACTATCTTGTCACCTGTAGGCCTAGCTGGAGCATGTAGGAAGTAATTATAGAGCTCCACTCTGCACTGTCCCTTGGCCCTAAGGCCAGTCCTGTTTCGTCTCTGGTTACTCTGACATGATGGGAGATCTAAAGTGCTGGTAAACTCAGATTTCAGTTCAGAGTTGGCACCTCACCTTGTCAGCCCCTGCCTGACCACCACTGTGTGTGCACATGTTTGCTTGTGGCAGGTTGCATGTGTTTGTGTGGTGTGCACGTGCGCATATGCACATGTGTTTGTTGACATATGTGTGTGCTTACG